CCCAACCTTCTTGCTGCAGCCTCACATGATCTTTTCTCTGTTCAACCCATCCCTGGTGTTTCTTTGTGTATCCAAATTTCCTCCCTTTACACTCCAGTCAGTGGGGATTAGAGCCCATTTTAACTTAAATACTACTTAAAGGGCCCATCTCCAAATGCAGCCACATTCTAAAGTACTGGAAGTAGGGCCCGAAGATATGCATTTGAGAGGGACATGATTCTATCCAAAACACCATACAAAAATTTATATAAACAATAGAATATAATATTTGTAACACAATGTTTTAAGACAAAGTAAAATAAATACATAAAACCTATAGCTTGGAAAACGAAATTAACAAGACATCAATTGTTTCTCAGCCTATATCTTAAACTTGTCTCATGTTTTCCCCCTTTAATATTTATATAGCTCTCCCACTCAACATATATCCCCAGCCTAGAAGTTGTATTTCATTTTTTTCTAATTTTTTTTAGTTGTAGTTGGACACAATACTTTTACTTATTTATTTTTATGTGGTTCTGAGGATCGAACCCAGTGTTAGGCGAGCACTCTACCACTAAACCACACCCCCAGCCCATATTTCATTTTCTGACAGTGCACTTTTGAGATTTTAGAGACTAAATACATAATGAAAGAAAATTTTGTTGTGAGAAGCTAGCTATATCCAGGACTAGACATTATCTTAACAGAAATATTCATCTTACAAATATTGTGCATAAACTGGGAAATTGACAAGAGTTAGATGACAGCATCACTAGGAAAACCTATAATTGGTTCACTGTCCTCAATCATGTGCCATGTGCCCATTTCTATATCAGGAGAGATCACAGAGCTTGTGTTTCTTTCTCTATGCAATAGGATTTATGTGAAATCACAGAGAAAATGCTAGCCAGGCTTTGCACAAATATGGAAAAACAATACGTTAGTTATAAGTCAGCACTAGATTCAAAGAAAAGTCCTGACAATTTGAATGAATGAAACCAAATAAGGTGATAAAATTTAATAAGGAAAAGTGCTTCATGGTACAGTAAGGCCCAAAAACACTAACTGGAAAAATATAAGTAGAGAGAAGCGTAGAGAAGTGTAGAGAGAGGTGTAACTCTATAGGAACACGCATTAGAAATTTTGTTGAAAATTTTTGGTAATAAAGACACTAAGGGTCAAATAATGTGCTTACTGAGAGTTAGTATATGATTAGGTTACACCATCAACATTACAAAATCTCAGAAGAAAAATGATGATTCCATCTCACTCGAGGATGTCCAGATTTCATTGGGAACATTTTGTTTCTAGGCAATAAACTTATCATTGTCATGCTAGAATAGCAAATATATTCAATTCCATGTCAAATGAAGAACAATAATAAGACGTAGAACTATTAGGATATGAGATGGACATCATTACCCTAAGTACATGTATAAAGACACGAATGGTGTGACGCTACTTTGTGTACAACCAGAGATATGAAAAATTGTGCTCTATATGTGTAATGTGAATTGTAATGCATTCTGCTGTCACATATAAGAAATTAAAATTTTAAAAATGAAAAAAAAAGAAATATTAGTCAGGATAAAACAAGACTGAAGAGGGAGATCAGCTTGTCTTCAAATACCTGAAAGGCTGTGCTCTGGAAAGGCTTTAGGCATATATCCCGTGGCCCCAAAAGGGAAGGATCAAGTTGGCTTGGCTAACAACTCATCACTTCCCAGAAACTGGCTTCTGGCTTCATTTTTCTCTGTTAGGAACCAATCCTATTTCTAATTGTCAAGTCATCTTAGACCATCTGGATTGCTCTAACAAAATACCCTAGACTGGGTGGCTTATAAACAATAGGATTTATTTCTTATAATTCTGGAGGATGGGCACCCAAGATCAAGATCCTGGTCGATTTAGAGACTGGTGAGTGCTCACTTCCTAGTTTACAGAGTTATCTTCTCCCTTTGACCTCACTTTGGTGCAGTGGTGAGGAGCCTCCCTGTGTCTCCTTCACAATGGCATCAATCCCAATCAGGGGGCCTCTGCTCTCATGACTTATCCCAAAGGTCCCTCCTAGCAAAACCATCCTCTTAGAAGAATTTCAACTTATCAGTTTGTGCAAACGCAAGCACTCAAGACCACAGTGTCCTGTGAACTGAAAGTTCCCAGACAGGGTGGACTCTGAGTGGTGCCAAGATTCATGGCCTGCTTCAAGAGGTAGCGATTTTCCTCATGGGAAGCCCTTCTTGCTCAGGCTTTAATGACTGTGAGGTACAGGGGATTAGGGTGATTGGGTAAATGTAATTTAGCCTCTTTGTAAACTGAGGACCTATGATTTGAATTTGCTGGAAAAAAATATGTCATAATTTTATACCACAGATTTCATTTTAACACATCAGCTCAATTCTGATCCATTTTGGAAAAGTTTAGTAACACATTTCTACATAATTGCTTCTGTTCTAACCCAAACTTCATTTGCTGTTTCTCCCCATCTTTTCTGTCTTCTTCTCTCCCTATTTCCCAAAGCTGAAATAATAATTCCATCTTATTGCAACGAAGCATAAAGCTTTAGAAAACAGTAGCAGACAGCGAGCTGAGGTCAGATTCAGAGTCAAGAAAAATATTTCTGAGATTCTTAGCATCCACTGTGCCAAAAGTAAATGCAGATTTGATAAATGACACAAAGTCATTACCTCTCCATTTCCCTTTCTGCTGATTCGATTTTTACAAGAGCCCAATTTTCCACAGAATCAGATCAGATTTACAGCAAATACAAAGATTGCATCTTTTATTTATAAGGCAAAAAAACTACCCAAATACTTTTCATTAAAAATGTGTGCCCTGCAATACTAGCTTTCAGAGTATTAGTCAAGCATTACATTACTTCTGTCCCACACCCCTGTAGGAATTGATAAGCAAAGACCTTGAAGACGGAGCTCCTCAGAAGTTACTGAGACTATCAATCCTGACCTTCATGATTTATTTCAGGTTGATAATGAAGTTTGGGAATGAAGTTGTGAGATGTATGAACAACTACACATGCTTGCTATTTTCTATCCCTGTTCCATTCTCTGTCTTCCTTCTAGAGGAACAATTTTGTGAGAGAATCTGCTAGCCCTAAATCAACTTGTAGACAATTATAGAAACAGGAAAATAAGATGTTATAAATGAGTAACAATAAAAATATAAATATATTTATTTTGAACCCTATTATGTCCCTTGAGAAATGTTTGGAAAAAAAATAGATAGGATAAGGACAAAGAGTTACATAGAGCTGGTGTAGAGAGGCTGGCACGTGATACCCAGATTGGAGAGAAAACTGCAGGGTTTGTACCCAGACACAGGGAAAGGGGATGAGAGGTCCACCCACGAACAGGGTGTAGGTATCGATACCTCTCCTAAGTGTGTGCTGGATGGAGATGACTCCTCTGACCTTATATTCAATACCTACATCTTTGTGAGGAAGACAAAGATGGGATCGTATTGAAGATATGAAAATAATGGGGAATTAGACAATTTTCCAATGCATAGTGTTTTCCTTTAGTACCATGTCATGACACCCTTTAAAAACCAGGACATGGATGTGTGATTTATATTTCCCTGTTTATATTTATGTTTTATATTTATATCTTCCTACATTTTCCACAGCTTTAAACAAACCCTGTCGAACAATACAGTCATTCCTATATTGGAATTTCAAACATCTCTCTGAGGGAAAAAAAAGCACATGTGAAAAAAGTATGTCTACCCAAAGAAAAATTTCATGAGTGTGCTCTTCAGAGCAGTGCTTTTCAAACTTGAATGTGCAGAGAAGCCACTTTGAGATCATGTGAAAATGCAGATTTTAAATCAGTAGGTCTCAAGTGGAGCTTCGAATTCATTCTGCTTTCTAACAACCTCCAAGTGGACAAATGCCTGCTGAGGCACAGATCACACACTGAGCAGGTTTTAGGCCATGCAATCTCATTCCCTGTTTTAACTTTCCCCCTGAGTTCCTGTACTCTTCCCTCTGGTTCACTGGTGAGAAAATTTTAGGCCCAAATAGGGTGGGTACAAAAGAAAAGAAAATATTCTAAACTTCCAACATTAAGCCTAGCAATAAGATTTTAAGTTGTTTCAAGGAGAGACATATTTTTTTTGAACACAAATGAATTATACATACTTTCATGTAAATCACTGAACAAATTCATAACAAATACACAGTAGCTTGTCAATTTCTTTCCATAAATGAAGTCCTACATCTGAGTAAGTTATAAACAAGTGTCTATTTGACTGGTCAGCTAAGCCACTATATTTGATAGGTTAGATGTGTTAGATGCATTTTTAATAAGCAGCACACCAACTAAATGTTTAAGTATCACTGAGGAATGAGGTGACCTGGGTTGGTCAAATTCTCCAGACAACTAAAGTTTATCTTTGAAGTTTCTAAACATACTGATTTTGTGAAATCTCTCTGGAATTAACATTCTTAATAAATGTTAAATATACATAACAATGTTTAACATATTACCCAGGGACAATAATTACTATTGTATGGTGTGATATAGGAATGCTCTAAGAGCTACTAAGGTCTATGAGGGCCTGTGCAGGCTCATGTGTTCCTGCACTGTGGAGTCTCAGTGTCCTCTGGTGGCTTCTCAATGTGTTTGGAGACCTTCTGTCTCCCTCCTCATAGTCAGACACAACCACACTCTGCTCTCTGGCTGCCCTCTTATAATTTCTAGTCTGCTGATTTGTTTTTCATATGAAATTCTGGTAAAAGTTCTAAAACTAGTTCCTATCTCACCTTTTTTTTTTCTTCTCTCTTTCTTTTCTACAGTGTTTGGATGAAACCGAGAGTCTGGAGCACGCTGGGCAAAAACTCCATCACTGAGCTATGCCCCAGCCCTTCTCTCTCTGTTTTTAAAGTTGGAACTCTTTTGGGGCTTTAGGTTACTGGATACCTATATAATCATTTCAGCTTAAAGAAATCACACAGTTTGAACCCTTTTAAGCATCTCTTACTATAAGCATTGAATACTCACTGAGCCCAGTGTCCTTACAGTACTGAACCAAGTACTGTCCCATGACTTTCAGTAGATGATTATACTCTTGGACATTGAGAAATTCTTGTTTATTGTGGGATGGTTCCATGATCTCCAAGGGTATGTTAACAATTCCAACTACGCCTGCACCAAGTCTGATGGAATAAACACACATATAAATTTTATGAAATTTAGCTGCACAAAAAGAAATATCAAATATATGCTGGTAATTTGCAATCAACTTTTTTATGATTACCAATTTAATATAAAGGATTTTATAAAAGATACAAATGAAGAGCCAAATGAAGAGGAACACTGGTAAAGTCTGGAAGGATCACTTCTGTCCCATGGAGTTGCCACCTTCCCCACATGTGGATGCATTCATGAGCCCAGAAGCTCTCTAAACACCACTTTTTAGATATAATCAATTCGTGATTGACTTATCTCTAGCTTCTCTCCTGTCTTCTATTCCCTCAGGGGTGGTAGTACTGAAAATACTAGGTTTGGATTCAAGGTGCTGTCTTTCTAGTGACCAATACCCATCCTGCCAAGAGTCACATTACTGGATCAAGAGATACTCCTATCTCTCAGGAAATTATAAATTTTAGGGGCTTTGTGTTAGGAATGAAGTACAAAGACCAAATATATTCTTCACAGTCTCTGAATTGTGATAGCTTGAATTTTATAATTTTCCAACTTTTTGATAGTGTAGAAGTTGTTCAGATGCAACAGAAACAGGGCTGGGGACGTAGTTCAGTAGTAAAGCCTTTGTCAAGCCTGTGTTCTATTCCCAGTACTGGAAAGGAAGGACGGGTGGGCTGATGGGAGGAAGGAAGGAAACAAACTGCTTTAAATTGTGAATTTTGATCTTTTCCTGAATTAGTGACATGTAGTATGGTACTCTGTTGTAACAATGGGCAGGGGGCAGCAAGCCACAGCTCCCAATTAGAAAATAATTCCCATTCTACAGAACGCTGGTCAGCTAAGCCATGATGTTTGATAGGTTAGGTGTGTTAGATGCATTTTTTATTTATGACACATTCAACTTATGATGGGGTTATTGGGTGCAATCAACTTTAAAAAATAATAAATTCATTCTCTTGATTTATACCATGTCAAAGTCAAACAAGTTATCTCATGATTGTATTTTATTATCATAAATCAATGGTTATCCCAGATGTCACATCATATGAAATCCCTTCAGCACATCATTACTGAATCAATGTAACTCTTCTTCCAAATCTATCTCCTTACATGGACAGTAAGGGCTGACGGGAAGAAACTTTTTAGCATAAACACCAGTGATGGAGGACCTAACTGAACAAACCAGCATGATCCTTTGAATGATACTGGTAGAAAATCACTTTCTTTGTCCCTATTTCATGTGTCAAGCTGAATTTCTACACCTTGCAGAGGCCCATGGGGTGCTCAGTGAATTCTACTAGGGAACAGAGAGTTCCATTATCCCAAAGGGCAACAGGATCTGACTGTTAGAACAGAGGGTTTGGGGGTTTGCTTGCTCCACTTTTTTAGTGGCACAGACTGTAAATACCTGGGGTACTGTGCCCATCCTGTTTGTTCTGGGAAAAAGCTTTGGTTGTCTAGCACTTTTGGAGGTTCCCCATTGCCCAACCCTGGAACACAAATGTCACTTTCCCAGACCAATGAGCCTGTCTGTTGTGCTTCTCATCACTTGCTCTTCCACCTGCCTTCCCTTCATTATTCCTGCTATAAGTCTAAATGTGGGCATCGCTTCATCCAGGAGTCCTGACCCGACTTCCCCCAGTTTGGTTTACTGCCTCTCCTAAATGCTTTTTATTGTAGTTGATGTTCACCTCTAATAGAGTACTCATTCATTTACTCCATCATTCATTCATTCAAGCACGATACGTGGCCCTATTCCAGGAACTAGGAATATAGTTAAGAACAAGAAAGACAAGGTCCTGGTTAGGACGGTTCTCCCATCTACTAAAGGGTGACTGGTATGATTCTAATAAACAGATAAGTGAACAAGGTCATTTCAGATGGTGATAAGTGGTATGAGGAAAATGCAGTAGGTGCTGTAATATGCAAACAGTGGCAGGTGAAGGTGACAGCAGCATCTGAGTTACTTATTCAATGAAGGAAGACCTTCCTACAGAGGGAACTTTAGAGCTCTGAATGACATACTAGGACCAACAGTAGGAAGGTCTAATAGGACACATATCTCAAGGTCCAGGGAAGGGCAAGTGCCTAGACCCTGAAGCAGAAATGAGCTTAGGTGATGGGAGGAACAGAATGCAAAGAGTTTGGGGATGGGCAAAGGAGTGGGGCTCCCAGCCAGGCAGAGGCCAGATCCCTGGAAGATGTAGTAGGCATTTCTACAAACAGCTTTGGGGTTTAAGCAAAAGAATCAATTATTTCAGGTTTTAAAGTTCATTATTGCTGTTTAAAAGAAAATGCATATTTGAGGGGTTGGAGACATAGCTCAGTAGGTAGAGTGCTTGCCTTGCACCAAAAAAGAAAAAAAAAAAAGCATATTCAAATGCTTATCTCTTTCCCTGAACTACATGTTCTTTAGCAAAAGATATTTATTAGTTCTTGAGCATTTTGTCCTAAAAGCTGAGTACAGTGCCTGGCACATAAACAGCAATAATACTGCGTGAATAATAAATGAATTGCTATTCCTCAAGAGGAAGGTGATAAGTGCTCCTGACCCTTTCTACTCTGCGTGGATATTCTGTCTGACTCTGTCCTTTTGTATGGTGTCTCTTCAGGCCTCTACATGACTGATGAAAGCCGCTTGTGAAGTACAGACCATTGGAAAACAACAGAATGTATTACTCTGGAATTTAAAGGGGCTGAAGTCTTCAAAAAACATGTCCTCATGAAGGTCACTGGCAAGACCTCACACACGTAGGGGCTATACAGAATGTTAAACATGGTTGCTCTCCAAGCCTGTGGATATTTCTTCTCTTTCCTCTTCTAAAATTTCTTTAATGTGTCTGTATTATTTTTAAATTGGTGAAACATTAAAAACCCAAAGAGATGGCTCAAGGTATGGTTAAAACATCAAGCTGTTTAAGAAATGCATTGAAAAAAAATGTTTCCAAAAGTGTGTTTTTGCTTTAGAGCAAGCACACAGCTTCACTGGTAATATAAATTAGGCAAATTAATGCCTGCACATTGACAGGAAGGGTGAACAGAGAATATGACACCTGCCCCCATTAGGATTAATCATTCATCTCATTCCACAAACCCTTAATACAATCTCCCTTTTCCTGCTTGTGCATCTGAAAACAAAACCATACTTACAAGGACTTCAGTTTCAACTGTGGCCCCACTTTCTCATGCATTTTGATCAAACGGTTATTACTGTAAATGAACATGCCAGCTCGGCTTCGGTTTTCTATGTTCACTCCAAAGAACAGGAAGAGCGTTCTTGCTTTTTTTAATTCTCTAGAGTTATATGTAGAAAAGTTTTTTATTAAATAAAATACACAGTTTACAAAACTGCTAATAGTTAAACTCAGAAGGTACACATAAAAGGAATGATATATAACATTTCCAGATATTTTGCAAAACCTGGTGGGTATACTCAGTATCTCTATAGCCAAGTTTTCTGCATAGATATGATGCAAATAACATAAGCATTCTTTGATTCAAAAACAAACCTGTTAATTTAAACTTAGAAAAGCCAGAAAAAGCCAAAAGAGTTCTGAAATGTTAACTGATCTGATATGTACATTTTAGCATTTTTGGAAAATGTTAATTTGACTTTTTTCAAAATTTTAGCTATTTCTTACACTGGATGTCACTTCTAACTTTCAGAATGTTCTCAAGTCTCCAAATATCTGATACAGATCAGAATGTGTCAAAAGATGTTCTTTAGCTTTCTCTCTAACCTTTTCTAAATATCAAAGGTAAATAAAAGTTAATAAGGCAAGTTTACAAGAGCAACAGATATGAGCTCCTATTTTTCTGTCCTGTACTATGTTTTGTGTGATTTTTCTATTAAAAGTATTATATATATATATGTATGTATATATATATATATATATATATATATATATATATATATTTCTCAGAAATTGAGAAATAGAAGAATGTGACAGAAAGAACTACAGTCTGAAGAGGTTACTGCGAACTGTCGAAAGTTTGTGTCATATGAAGGGGTGGACTTGACTTCAAACACAAGTTTACCATTGTAACAACTGGGCAACTACAGAGGAACTACTAAAACATTCCATCTCACCTAAAACATGGGGATGACATCTACCTAGATAATTTAAAAATATTAACCTGAAACAAATGAAGTGCGAAACAAATATTGCTTTCCTTTTCTAACCAAGAATGACAACTAGTAGAATTATTTCTTTGTACTCCCCCTATAGCCTCCCTCCCTCCACAAACACAGCTGTTCTCTCCAGGTTCATGACCATGTACTATTACAACAGACATGATAGACCTACTGGGATGATTCAAGGAAATAATGAAGTTCCATCTGTCCACCTCTGTGAATATGGTATCACAGAGTACCACAGACTCAATGAGAAGTTGTAGGCATGGGTCAACATAGTATGCATTTATTAAATGCATGTATATCTTAGGTAAGCAAGGATTGAACTTTTTCTCAAAAATCTTTACTCAACTAGGAGATCAGAACTCTAAACAAGAGTACTGTTTAAGGGACTACAAAAGAGGACATGATATGTCACTCTGTGGTAAGTGACATATTGATTATGTTCAAGTTTTTTTTTTAGTATCATTTTTCTACATAAACAAGTTCAAGGCAATTGGCATAATTAGTAGTGAAATATAGACATTCACTTTTTATAAATTACACTATGATTATAAACAAGTCATCCACAAGGTTTCTCACTCTGAAGACTTTAGAGAAAGTGTTGCCTTTCAATTAAAATTTCTATGACATTTCTTTAATTATTCTTATAAATGCATAAGTAACATTTCAAATTTAAGTTTTGAGGAAGATTATAGTTATACGACAGTGGCTGATTCACCAAAAAGTAATGTTGAAAACCAAAATGAATCATTTTTCCCTAAAAAATGGGTTTCCCAAAAGTATCAGTTTTCAAAATCTGACCTTAGTTGGGCGGCAGTGGCTATACCCAAATTAATTTGATCAGTATTTGTGCTACAGTCAGCCTTACAAATGTAAATATTTTACTTCTTTTTTACATAATCTTGTTAATTTTACTTTAGGCACATATAAACGATATATTATTTCCTATCTAAGTTTCAGTCCACTAGACAAAGGAAATAATGGGGACCAACCCTCCAGAGTTAAGTAAAAAGAACAGAGGGACAGGAAAGCTGTCTGTGGATCTCTTGGGCAGTGCACTTCTTTATCCCGACATAACGGCAGATTCAACTACCAATGCTGGACTCGTTTCTCACTATTTTTCAGAAGTTTGAACATTATGTAGATACATATGTACACACACCAATATATAGTTATAGATATTTTACACTGTTTTATCTTGGTTGAGGAATGCTGATCATATTAGGATGAATATACTAAGATATCACAAGCTGAAAAAGAGAAATTGTCACAATAACCACCAAGTCTGTCCACTTAGAAATCCGAGTTTGTTTTAACACAGCATAGAGGATTCTTTCAAACAGAAAAACTCATGTCTTACCTCTGTTTCTCTTTAAGATTCTTACGCTTGGCTTCTACATCTTCCAAAGCTTTCTGTAATATATCCTAGAGAAGTACATTTGGTTGGGAAAGAACATAAAGCCATTAAATTAATGAAAGGTGAGTACTATTATCCTATCATCCAAATATCTCAAGGCAGATCACACTGCTTAATGCAATTTACCATAGTAGATACTCAGTAAATATTTGAGAAACCCTTAAGTTCCAAAAGCTTAGAACATAAAAACCAGTCCTAACCCACTTGTCTCTTTTCGCACATATTCAGATGTCCTAAAAAAGAGAAAGAATCTGTACACCCCATAATGCCACAATGCCTCTGACATAAACTTCATGAAAACTTGGGTAAGTTATTTCTTGTATCTAGGCTCTGGCTTTTGGGAACAGAAAATGTTATTTTCAATTATGTTATCTAAGACTTCTTTCAGAGAAAAAGTAGTTATTAATAAATATTGCTAATAGCCAGAAGAAAATGTCTCCTTCCTATCAAGTTAGATACCTTTGAACAATACTCCCCAAATTTCCCTGCATAGAATACCCCATGTGGAGGCTTTCTCCCTTTCAGTCTGCTCTAATGTCAGTGATTTCATACACTGGCTACTTCAGTACCCTATCTCAAGTATGCTGTAACCCAGGCAGAAAAAGGAAAAACAGGTCACTATCATTCTCACAAATAGGAAATGACTTCTAATGAGTTTTATTCACCAGAAGTAAAAGATGGATATCTCTTTTGATGGATATACCACCTACAGGTACTATTTTCCTTGTCTTTCAAGTAAGACAATGAAAAATGGTTGGTAAGCATTTCATTTCAAATTCAACTGCCTGGAAGTATTTAAAAGGTCAAAAACTCAGGTCATTCTGCTTTGCTCCCTTCTCTGCATTAAAGTAACCAGGGCACCTCAGAGCAACAAAGCAAACTAGTCAAAGACATCCCCACCCTTCCTGGTATCAGCACAGAGCAAAGGGGTCGTGAGAAGAAGCAGGCGGAGGCAGCAAAGCAAGGGTCTGGCCTATTAGAGTCCGTTTTTCTCTACTCTCAACGACAGAAAGCAAAGGGAATCGATTTCTTAGATACAAAATAAAAAAGCTTAAACCATGAAAAAATCAATAACAATAAGACAGGTTTACCGTTAACTTAAAAAAAAAGAAAGAAAGAAAAGAAAAGGTAAGAGAATCTTGAGAAAACCTAGATAGATTTAGCTTGGGGGCATTACCAAGCACAGCTCTTTGATTTGGTCCCTTACTCCCAGCCCTTAGCTAGGAGGGAGCTTTTTCAGACCCCACCCTGGCCCTTGAAAGCTTAAGGGCAAGTCATTGAAAAGGTTCAGACATTTAGCCAGTGGAAGAAAAAGGTGGTGAAGAAAAGCATTCCCCGCCCCCAACCCCCATATTGCTGCTCATCCCTTTGTATTCAAGCAAATAGATATTCTGCTCAATGAGTCATAGTGAGGAAAGCTTTGTACCATAATTTTGGTAAAAGTTAGCAAGATTACAATACATATCCTGCAGCAATATTCCTTTTCTCTTAGCTGCAATATACTATAATTAATAATAATAGTTCTTTATAACTTATTTTACTCATGGGCATATTGCAAGGATTACAAAGAATGTTTATGAACTGTGCAAAGCAACTCATAATAAAAGAGCTTTGTAAGCTGGAAGCATTGTTATTAATATTCATAATTATGGGATATAATTCCTAGCACTAGAAAGAAGGACTGCTTATTAGTCCTCTTCTTGCTTTCCCCATTTATTTGGGTCCATGGAGAGCTAAAAGTTGAATAGATATTTTCAAGGAGACTGGATAGGCTAGTTTTTTCCTGCTAGCTTTTCATTATTTTCTCCTTTTCTTATTATTACTTTCCTTTTAAATAAGTTGCTCTTCCCCACATACCAAATTCACCCACATTTCGTTCATCTTTGCTGTCTCAGCCATCCCCCTATGTGCTGGGTCTCTTTTTTCTCTGAATTCAACTTTTCTGTATACCTGTGTTAAAATCAACTTAATCTTTGGAGCTCATCTGTGCTTAAGAGTTTAGGAAGTAAATGATAAGGGACATACATCTATGCCCAAGAAAAAGCAAGTCATGTTGTTTGCCATTTAAGATCACTCTTTCCACATCGTACCTTGGTGGAGGACGAAGAAGTTATGTCAGGCTGGTTTACTTTGATTTGTGCTTCTTTCAATGAAAGTTCAGCTACAAGTGGAAGCTTAATTGTTAGTTATAATACAGTGAGATTCTTGCAAGCAATTTTTAAGTGAGCGTTTTCTATACACACAGTCATGACCAGAGATAATGGCATACTGATTATAATCTCGGAAAACCTTTCATAGCTCATACGCCTTTTAAATCTCTTCTATTGGGCTTCTTCTTAGGCATGACAATTTATAGAACCTAAGTTTACACATAAATTCAAAAGTATGAGTCAACCTTTGGCTGACTGAAAATGCTCTAAAATCTATGAAATATGATGGAGAGCTATTTCTACCCCAAGATGACAGGGGAAGCATGGCTTTGTCCTTGCTGTGGGAGGACTGAATGTGCAGAACAGCCTTTTTAACGTAGATGTGATGCTGGTCTCACTTGTGATCTAACACAGCATCACGACCACCAGGTTTTCAACGAGTTCCAAGTATAATCAGGATCATGCTTAAAATAACAAATCAGATCACAATTAAACAAACCCAGAGAAAAAGGGATAAAGATAAAGGAATGTGTTATGAAGTTTTTCAGAGGCAGGAATGACATTCAATTCCAGCATCACCTACAGCAATGAATGTCTCATAAGAGCCTGATTAACATTTGCTGAGTGAATGAACAGTAGTGTCGTGGGCCACAGGTAACCACATACCGATCTTTACTGCTTCTTCTGCCTTTTTTACTTCATTTTTAAGTGTTCCTTTAAAAGAACATGTGACATACAGATACTTTCTGAAAAGAAAAAAAAAAGAACCTAATCAAGTCATAATGTCATTTTAAAGTAATATAAGAGAATAAGGGAATATTCCTTAACTTACTACATACTCCAGAGATAGGCAATTATTAAGGAAGATTCATCAAGTAAGTTACATCCAGCTGGTAAATTAGCAAACTTTATACCTGAGAAGTAATCCCTTGCCTTTTAATACTTGGTAATGGTACTTTTGTAAGGGAACTTCAGGAACAAGGTAAGAAAATCTCTGCCCCCATACACGTTCACTTGTACATATAAAATGGTCATTTTCTTAAATAGAAAAAAAAAATTATGCCAGTGCCCCATTGTCAAAGTTTCTGGTTAATAGGCACAGCCCTCTTGCTCAGATCATCATTGGCACTGGATAAAATTCTTCTCCCAGTCTCCAAACAATCATCTCTAACTGAATTGCGCAGAAACACACATTCATATCATCTTAAAGCTACTAAGAGCACATTTTCTACATTATTGCTCAAAAAACCTATTTTCAAGGTCCATTGTTTTAGTGACAGCAAAGAGCTCTGGAGCAATCAAGGAAAAAGAAAAATGAATATTTCTATAAACACAAGAGAACAAAGTGTGAGTTAGAAGAGTTCTGCAGAGCAGAAGCTCCATGAACACAGTTGACACTATCTGAATCTGTTATAGAGGACTTTTCTTGGAACTAGGCTTCTAAATATTCGTTTAAACCATCATGGAAAGAAACACTCCAGAATAATATTTGGTTTGCGGACTCAGTGAAGGAAAATCCAGGCACTGACTTAACTAGCTCCATCTTGTCCATCCCTGGTTCTGTATTGCCTTTTTGACTTTTTTTTTTTTCCTCCTAAGTTCTTCTGCTGTTCTTTAGCTCGGATCCAGGAACAACAGATCTATATATAAGCATCTTTATGACAAGGAACCAAAATGACCCCAAAGCAGCAGCAAGCCTTGAAGACAGATCACCCCACGATGACTTCACCCCCTAAGCAGGGGCAGTCACTCCATGAGTGAAACCAAGGCTGTTCCCTTAAGCAAGAGCAATCATCTAACAGTGGGAACCAAATTGGCCTCTCAGGGGATGCTGACTTCCCTGGAGTTTTATGGAACCAGTCCTGAGATAATGATCAATCTGACAACTGTCTGATCAAGAGTGTCTGTTTTGCCTGCTATGAAAAATCCCAGCTATGCAACACATCCACCCTTCCTTTTGTTCCCTTTTTCTGTAGCCTCAAAGTACTTGTCAGCCCCTGGAACACAGATCTTAGATCCTCGACCTTTCTCAGTTCCTCGGTGCAGCCACACTGATGAAAGCTCCTTCCTGTCTTCACCTCTGCTAGTCTCTTAAAGTGGCATTGTGGAACCTGTGGCCCAATCTAGTCCCCTGCAACTCCTAAAGCAGCAGCATTCACTCTCAAACTCTGGGAATGTCAGGAGTGCATAATTCTCTGACATCTTCAATGTTTATAAGGCATATGATGGTTAGCTTTATGTGTCAACCTGACAGGGCTGAGGGATGCACAGATAGCTGGGTAAAACATTCTGGGGATGTCTGTGAGGGTTTTACTGTAAGAGACTAGCCTCTGAATAAGTAGCCTAAGAATGTCCTCCCTCATCAATGTGATTGGCATCATCCAATCTACTGAAGGCCAAAATAGAAAAAAGGAAGGATAAGGTAATCTCTGTTTGAACTGGGACATACATCTTCTCCTGACCCAGGACATCATAAATTTAGGTTCTCAGGCCTTTGAACTCCAGGTTTTACACCAGCATCTCTCCCTGCCTAGTTCCTGTGCCTTTAGCCTCAGAATGAAAGCTGCACCACCTTCTCAGGCCTTTGGATTCAGGCTGAACTGTACCATCGGATTTTCCTGGTCTGCTGGTGTGCAAACTGCAGACTGTGGGACTTCACAACCTCCATAATCCTGAGGGAGAATTCCCACAATAAAGTCACTGACTTTATGCTATTGGTTCTGTTTCTCTGGAGAACCCTAATAAAGATATCAACATTTCAGCAAGAGGCAGGTAGAGACCTATAGATCTTTCTTGAAGCCAAAATGTTTTAAGATGTATAAAACAGGTGTTTGCTCAGGCAGATGCAGGAGTCTAAACCCATATGCACCAATAAATTTATACCAGCCTATGGGCCAAACTGAGCCACTGACTTCTCTTGGTTCGGCCTCAGACCTAGATCAGTTTTTCATTTTTCAATGGTTCTAAAAGTAAAGGATAAAAAAATAAAATGATGTAAGAGGACTGAATGCACACATATATTTACTATCAGGCCTATTACAGAAAAGGTTTGCCAACCTCTGGAATCTATGTTAATAGTAATCGCTGTTAAATGATAGCTCGATTTAGAATTGCCTTTATATGATCTGACTTTTAAACAATGTAAGCAGTAATGCAAATATTTCGCTGACTGCTGATCAAACAGGTCACACATAATTTAAATGTTTCTTAGCTAGAATCTGTTTATAGTTTAAGAATTTCTTCCATTATCTCAACAGAAACAGTACAGATATACTCTAGACAGAAAACACTTCATGATTAGATGTTAAAAGTAGAACTGTCTGGAGTCCATCTACCTGGGTTCAAGATGAGGTGTACCCCTTACTGTAGTGTAAGATAGTATTTCCAATGATTCTACTTCCTGATCTCTGAGTGGGTGATAACAATGGTGACTGTCTTCAGGGCTGTTATGAGAAGCAAAGCTGTCAATACAGCTAGAGAACTTAGAACAAAGCTGGTTCACAGTAAGAGCTTATTATGCCTCATTATTATCTAATTTCCCCAATAAGTGTTTTGGAGAAGTGCACTGCAGATGGGAAAATGAAATGAGTCAGTGGATGAATTGTTTTTCTTCTAAGAGTTGGAAGGACTTATAGAAATTTGCTGGGTTAAAACACAGAAAGGCTAATGTTAAAAAATAACTATAGCCAGGCACAGTGGCGCATGCCTATAATCCCAGCGACTCTAGAGGCTGAAGCAGAAGGATCACGAGTTCACAGCCAGCAAAACCGAGGCGCTAAGCAACTCAGTGAGACCCTATCTCTAAATAAAAATACAAACTAGGGGATGTGGCCCAGTGGTCAAGTGCCCCTGAGTTTACTCCCCGGTACCCAAAAGAAAACAACAACAAAAAAACCCTACGTATCATCCTATAGTCATCTACTTCAATGGCTTAATAAAGAATTCAAGTTATAATAACTTTGTTTTTATTATTGCTAAATTTAAGACCATTTCAGAGATGATTATATGGGTAACTACAGGAAAGAAATACCCATAAAATCTAATGTAAAATAATTATCAATTTATTCCCTTGGTTTTCTTTTACAATGAACATTATTCAGTTAAGTGATAACCTATGTGTATTCCAAATTAGTCTCTATTACATTAAGAAAACAGTAAAACTTAAGTTTAAATGTAAAAAAAAAATATTTAGTTACTACATACTAGAATATCATTTAAAAAGAAAACACTAATCTCATGCTTTATCTGGTTTGAATCATTTATTTTAGATCAAATCATTTTTTCAGAATCAGGAGGAAATCAAGAGGAGACTAAACAATGAGTTAATACTTCAAAATGATGTGAGTTAACCTATTTATTTTTTTTATAGAAAGGAAAGGAGGCACAAAAGGTGCCAACTCTGCATTAGTGCTTAATTTTAAATAGCAAAGGTCCCAAAATGTGCTGTCTTCCATGTCCATCAGTGAGGTAGCCTGATCCCAGATGATCTGCATGCCCGTGTGCAACTTGAATTTTACAATTGCTCATTACCATTTAAACAAGCTAATTAAGTGTATGTACTCACTCACTTCTATAATTCCAGAGCAATTAATCTGTCTCTTATAAATGAAAGAATGTTTGTTGAAATCTACATCCAGAATCGGGAGCCTGTGTAAACTTGGCACTTCCTCTATTTTTCCTATAACTGGACTCTTGAAGATAAAAAGGCCAGTGTGATGCATCCATGGAGGAGAACGAAGAGAACCCAGTCAGCTCTTAACTCTTCAGTCTTTGCAGTGGAGGGGAAGGGAAGTGTGTCCTCTCCAGGACAGGCCTTCCTTGCCTCAGTGGCTGGACTTTTCTTCAAACTCATCATGTGTCCACCCTCTGCATTTACCTGCCTCTCTGTCCATAAAGCCAGCTCACAGCCTCTGCCTCCATCTTTCTTTCTGCCATCTCTCTATAAATTCCGTGTCTTTGGGCATATCTCAGGCCTCCACTCTTTTTCATCTCACACATTTCACCTTCTATTTTCCACCAGTGAAACTGAATTTAAATATTTTGGTTATGTCTGCTTTCAGCATAAAACAACATATTCAATATTTTCTTTCCAAAGAGCTAGAAAACATGGTTAATGAAAAATATTGAAGAGAATAAAAACTAAAACAATATAAAAAAAATTTGCTTCTTGGATAAAGCACATATGAAAAAAGAAAACACTGTTAATATTAAGTGTTGATATTTGAGGGGAGAGTGGGGATGGGGTGGGTACCAGGGATTGAACTCAGGAGCACTCAACCACTGAGCCATGCCATCCCAGCCCTAATTTTTTTTTATTGTATTTTATTTAGAGACAGGGTCTCACTGAGTTGCTTAGTGCCTCATTTTTGCTGAGACTGGCTTTGAACTTTCGATCCTCCTGCCTCAGCCTCCCTAAACTCTGGGATTACAGGTGTATGCCACCATGTCTGGCTGTTAAGTGTTGATTTGAAATGAGACAAAGGGCAGTCTTACCCACTGTTGGTATAAGAACAAAGTGATTCCCAGTTCTTAGAGGATAAATTAACAGCAGCCATCAAGATTAATGGTATGCATTCCTTCTGATCCAGAAATTCACTTCTATAATCTGTTCTACAGAAATAACTGCATATGACCATAAATACACATGTTCAAAGACACCTAAGCGTGTCCATTTTAGCCTTGTTTATAACAGAGTAAACCCTAAAAATTCTTAATGTACACCAATAAGAAAATAATTAAGCCACAG